AGGGATGAATCAGCCTGGTAAATATGTGCTTCATTAAGAAACCACACCCTAATACCTTCTCCCCTCTCTCTCTCTCTCTCTCTCTCTCTCTCTCTCTCTCTCTCTCTCTCTCTCTCTCCCCCCCTACATACATGCATCTCTCTGAACAGACAAAAATTTGAAACATAACAAAAAACTTGACAAAAGTCTAGTTGCTCATTTACCCATTACCCTACCCATTTAAAGGGTTATTTCATCAATTTTTCACATTCTAAATATAAATCAGTTGTTAGCATGTAAACTAAGTCATTCAGAGTGGTCTGAAATAGTTCACTGTAAAGAAACTTATCAGCTTGGATAAGAATTTGTGATGTCTACAACACAATATAACAATTTTATTTATACTTTTTGAGACAACCAGTGAACCTACATGTTTTATATATGTGCACAAAACAGATAATCTTACAGTGACATGCGTGATGTAATCTGCTGTAAATGTGTTTTAAGGAACACTCATCTCAAAACTATCATAAAATTATGTGTTAGGCATCAATGTATTTGTAACCATTTTGTGTGTGAGGCAGCTTTTAGTGGCTAGTAAACACATCAGACGTCTAGTTCCTATCATCACCACTGTGAACAATTTTGCATCTGTAAGAGTGACGTCTTGATGCTTTAGTTATGCATAAATTTTGAAAAATCGATGGAATTGTACCCAGATCAAGAGTTAAAATAAAGGCCCCATTTTTTAAATAAACAAGTTTCATGTAATATGTAAAGAATGCATTCTTCACTCCCCAGTCCACACAGTCTACACATGGAAACCAGCTGCTCAACGTTTTATGTGATGTCACGAAAGCCAACACATTTACATACACCTGCCTTTCAGTCTACAGCAGCTTAACTTTACCTATTCACTTTGCTGTTATAAAGAGTGTTTCTTTTTGAATGAAGCACAGTACAGAAAAGCCAATCAGAACAGAGGTCATTTTCATATATCAGTTTTAAAGGTGCCATAGCAAAAACTGCCTGTTTAATTCTGAGAGATAAAGAGAGGTTGGTAAAAGGTCAAACAAAAATGAACATGGTAAGTGGGCCTCTGAGAAAAGATTACAAGTAAAATGCGGGATATGACCCCTTAAAGACTTAAGTTGATTTCCTTGTGTTTTTAAGTGATTATATTACTAAAAAAGAAGAAATTCTTCTCTTCTAGTCTAGCTAAGAACATGGACATGTATGATTAAATGTAGGTGACACAACCACATCACCTTGGGATTGCATTAGCAGAATTTATCACTCCAGAGAACTGACAAGGTGTGTACACCAACATAGGTGTTTGCATGCGTGTGGTCTTAGACACTCACACAGTGTGAGTGGTTACTATAGCATCGGCAGCTTCTTTTTGCAGAAGATCAACTAGCCTGTTCCTACTGAGAACAAAGCTCTATGTGTGTGAAGTGTGGGGGTGGGGGTTGTGTGTGAACTATCAGTGTGTTCTCAATAAGTAAAAGAGTCAAGTGTTAACTGATTATTTGTGTTAAAAGTTAAGTTTGCTCTTTGCTCCTTTCGCAGTTTTTCATTATGTGTAATGAGTGTTAGCATTGTGTAGGAGAAAAGAGGAGAGAAGTTTCCAGGGTGTGGCTGGCTACTGTAGCTGTTCCTTCAAGCGCCCAGCAATAAAGGGGTTTCATCACAAAATCGGAATCCCCCTTGCACATACACACACGCATACACACACAGAAAGTACATGAGTACATGAAATACTGTGCAAGGAGCAAAGAGCAAAAGGCAAAAGTAACTTTTAACACAAAAACTTTTAACACTTTTTCCCTACCAAGAACCCACTCTCTCTGTCTGTTGCTCTCTCTCACTCACAGAGTTCCTGCTGTAGAGGAATTTGTCTTTGACAACGACATCAAAACTTCAAGTAGTAAAATAATCTTTTGTCATTGTGGAACTTTTCACTGTTCACTATTGACTTTTAAGAACAATTATTCTCTCATTGGTTTTACATGCTATATATGAAACAATGTTTCCCTACATATGACACGTATTAGCAGGCAGCCAAAGCAAATTTTATAGCCATGGTGAATAAGAGTCAGAACAAGTGATTCAGTAGATGAATGGATTAAGGCTGGGCAATAAGACAAAACATATCTTTATCATGATAAATTATGTCACAATACAATGCAATATGCTTTTCTGAGCATATTATGCATATAGTTAGATCTTGTAGAACAATGACCAACTGCATGTTTCATTACAAAGAGAGCAAAATTAGTCTTGTATAACTGACTTTAATGCAACACAGTATGTGGAATATTGAATAGAAATAATTTTGCACACAGTTTTTGATAGTATTTTTAAAATGTAGCACTACTGGCTCTTTTGTCTTTGTTCCAACTGATTAGATGTCTGAAATATAATATCATGTATTATAAAATTTCTTAAAGTATTGCAATATTATATTTTTGCTATATCGCCCTCCTCTAGAATGGATCTCATATCGACTTGTGTGAAGTGATAGAACACATAAGTTTAACTTGATGGGGAAGATCAATCAAACACTAAGAGAAATATGAAATGCTTCTACCTCTGTAACACACTCTATAATGGGTTAACAAGTAAAAGAGAAAAAAATAACAGATTAAATAGCCGCTTGTGCCATTTGGACAAGTAACTCTGTGTCTGATAGAGAATGTTAAGGGTCAACTGCTGCAATACAAAATGTATTTCTATAGTTATAACACAAATATGTATGATACAGCCTTGAACTGTTTGGCATTTGACTTCCTTAAATGTGACAGCAACGCTACTGCAAAGTTCAAAACTTTTGAGGAAGGAGAGGTCAAGTGGAAAAAAGTGCCATTTTCCATTTTAGCTTTTTTTCATGAAATTGTTTCTTCTTATTACAGCTGCTTATAAGGCTTTACATTAGCTATAGACACTCAGTTTGGTTATTAAATGTGGTGTAGGTAAAGGGGAGATTCACCAGAGCTGCAATGCACTTATTTATCCCCCCCCCGGGAACAAAGATAAGCGGTTTCAGAAGATGTGTGTGTATGTGTGTGTATTTGGTTTAATTTACTCATCTGTTAAACTTACTAATGCAATAGTAAGATTTTAGAAACACTGTTTCTTGTATAATGTATAATTAATTTGGTTAAGTCATACTGACCACAAAGTCTGTTGCCCAGAACACTTTTCAGTTTCCATAGTGGTTTCTGTTAGTTAACTCTTATTTTGTAATTTTTCATTAGTTCTCTTCACAAAATGTTATTTTTGGGTCTTAGCATATGTTCATGCTAAATGTTAAATTTGGGTGCATTTTACATATTTTCATTACTTTAATGGAGTTGTTTCAATTGATACTAGTACAGTGCACAGGATGAGAATTCGATTCAAATTAACCTAACTAATCCAAGATTATTGATCTAACTTGAAAAAGTAGAGTTCTGCCAGCTCAAATGAAACTATTAAATTATTGGGCCTTTTAGTCAATCTTACTTGCTTTAGAAATGTGGATCACTGAAAAATAGAAAGTAACTATAACTCATATATAAAGTTACCTAAGCTTGAACCTGGTAAGTGACACTTTTTTTTCAAGGCAATAAGTTTTCATGGTTTTTAAAGTAAAGTCAACAAAGTTTACATTATGGGTACAAATAGTTTCTGTTCTACTTATTCCCGTTTTGGAACTCTGCTGTTTCCCTTCATGTCGTCATTGAACTTTGAGTGCGTGTGTGTGCGTGCATGAGGCAGGCTCCTCTACCCCATCTGACTCAGTATGTGGAAACTCTGAATATTCTTGCGCCACTGTGCAAAGCTGCAAGCTATTACACATTACAGCATCCAGACTCAGAAAAGCCTTAACTACAGACAACCAACCAGCTGCTACTCAGACACAAACTGCTTCTCTCTCTCTCTCTCTCTCTCTCTCTCTCTCTCTCCTTGTTTCATTCTCTTGCTATTTTTTCTTCCCTGCACACACACATGAATGTATTTAAGAAGTATTTTAAAGTTTAGTCAGGAGGCTGTTGTGTGCATGTGTTTCTTGGTCCTAAATGTGTAACTCTGCATAAGACAAATTCTACAAGAAGAGAGTGAAATGACGAGAAATATTCCGTTCTCTGATAGAGTTTGAGGTTTACTTCTGAACTGGGTGTGGTACAAGGCGTGATCGGCAGCAGGAGGTCATCTGAAAATCACAAGCAATGTTCCATATGCGAGGAGTTACATATCCAGATACTTTCTCTGAAGTGTAAATAGTGAAAAAAGGAAAATCTAGAGTTCTTCATGTTTTTTGATTTTGGTAAGAATCCCATTCATGTCAACAGACCTTTCAGTAACCACTGTTAATAGGTATTAAAATGCAATAAAGTGTCTAAAAACATGAACCTACAAGAAAGGAAGCAAACTTGGATATGATTATATCAGCTTAAATGGATAACTAAATCAGATATTGCTTCTTTTGTCCCTCACCTTTATAGGAACCACATCCAAAGATCCATATTATGCATGCACATAATCTGATTAACACGTAACCTTATATGGTAATGTTATATGATTATGTAGATTACATGTGCATGGATTTATGACTTTGTTACTTTTAGTCCCCATCTTTTTGGGAACCACACCCAAAAGACATTAAATGCACACACACACACACACACACACACACGCTTGCGTGCGTGGGCTATACATGCTTCTCATATGTATTACGTATATGTAAGCACCTATACTATAGAGAGAAGTAATTGGTAGGCCAAAAGTAATTATTTTAGGATAATCATAAATGTCCTAACCTTAACAACCTTACCACAGCTTTGTCTCATCAGTTTTTTAATGTGAAACATGTAGTGGCCTTAAAAAGCACTTTAAAAATGTCAGAACAATTTTGTTGGTCTTCATTTTTGGAGGTCCCTATAAAGTCATGACACTTTTATCTTGAATATGTATGACAACAAACAAACACACATACACATATGCACACACACACATACACACACAGATTACTTCACCTGGTAGATCATGACTTTGAAGTTCCTCCTCTTGAGGAGTTCGCTCTCGTTGCTCTCCAGCCGTTTTATCTGGCCAGCCTGCTTCTCCAAGTTGCTGCGCACTGTCTTCACATTCACGCTGACTTTGCGCACCTTCTCCAGCATCTTGTTGACAGAGTTGGCCGTGGTAGTGTGGCTCTTGGTCAGCTTGGTAAGCTCGCCCTGGATGCCAGTCACTGAACGTTCCATCTCTTGCTGCCTGGCCTCCAGGCCGGCCTGCGTCTGCTGAATCTGGTCCACCGTCCCAATGATCTTATCCAGCAGAGACAAAATCATCACTCCGTTCATCTGGCCAGTGCTCTTGTCTCCCTCCTCTGCCTGCTCTTTCTCTGCGGCCTCCTTGGACTTGGCATCCGAGGTGGTGGCAGCCTCCTCATCATCATCAGAGGGTGGCAGATTGACCTCATCGTCAGAAATCTCGGTGAGGGTCTTCTCCTGCTCAGGAGTGTCCAGCTGCAGGCTGGGGACTTCTAGCACCTCCATGATGAAAGAGTTTCAGACTGTAGGTGAAACAATGGAGCAGTGAGAGGCTTTATCTCTGTTCTTGAGTGCACTCTATAACTTCACCTTACTTTTTCCTCTTCTTGATAGAACACTTTTTGCTCTCTGTCTAAAATACACCGCACACACACAAGCTCTCTCCTTCTCTGAGCGTGTTCTAGGTTGGACAGTAACCAGTGCAGGGAGGGCAGGCGGCTGTCGAGGCTCAGTGCAGCATGAGTGCTGGGACACGAATAGCAGAGCTCTCTGGGAAACCCTCCTGACAAATCAGCTGCTTGCCAGCTTTTCCTTTTTTTCCCCTCCCACTCTCTCTCGCTCTCTGTCTCTCCCTTCTCTCTCCCCTTCTCTTTGCCTTCCTTTCTCTCTCTCACTCTGTCTTTCTTCCCTTCCCTTCTCTTTCCCACTCTTGTACGTGCATTTTAATATGTGTGCATGCGAGAGCATTACTCCACCCAGTGGTCTACTATGGGGGAAGCCTTATATAGGGATTTTTGGAATAGTTAGTGTGGGGCTGTGGAAAGAGCAGTAGTGGTGGGCAGGCACAGACACAGCTAGGGGAGGAATGTGGATCCACTGCTCCGGAGTTGAAGAAATCCCAAAAGGTCCATTTTCCCAATGACTTTTTCCATGTAGCATAATAGCAACTGAGAGAAGGATAGGAAAGTGACAGCTGGGTGTTTGAAAATTGTGTGTATGTGTCATAAATGTCCTGCTTTTTTAACTCCATAATTATGCCTTAAAATTGGCAGTAAATTTAAGTTTGATCTATGTAGAGGGTGTGTTAACTTAGGAAAATAAACAAATTATGTATTTTGACTGAGGGGGTTCAAACTTTTGCATATGACTGTATGAACCATATGTGTAACACTATGTTCTGACAATGTACAAAAACAAGTATGTATTGTGTATGCACTCATTGTTCATTTATTAGGTCCACTTTGAAGTTCTACAATTACAGATTATGTTCCATCTATTTCTTTACATAATTTCATGGGTTAGGACCCAAACAGGACCATCACAGAGTAGGTGGTAGCTCATTTTCAGTGCTGTAGTGACACTGACATGGTAGTGGCATGCTAGTGTGTGGGGGGTGGGGGTTGGGGGGGTTTGGGGGGTGTTGCAGAGAGTGGATCATACACAGCACTGTTGCTGACATTTTCTAACAAGTCAGTGTTACTGCTGGGCTGAGAATAGTGAACAGGGTAAAGAAAGGCTAACAAATTATGCAGAGAAATAAATGGACTACAACGAAATACAAGGTGCAGCTATATTAAAGAATCTATATGGTAAATGACTGAAGTTAGATGAAGTGACATGAAGGTACCTAATAAAGTGGCCAGTGAGTGTATACAGAGTGTTTGTGTAAGAAGGAGAAGAGAAAGAGGGATAGAGAGTTCTTGAGCTATATAGTTCTCATCACTGAATAAAATTCCTATTGCTCTAGCTGCTAAACTAGCTGCTTGTAAAATGTGCATTGGTTGTCACAAGTCGATCTGAAACTCAGGCTGTGATTACTTCACAGTCTGGTCAATAATACATTTTACTAAGTATTTGACACTTCATTTACCTCTAGAGTGAGTCGTAAACATTACAAGTAACATCACTAACATTCCAAATAGCAACCTCTGGCCTGAGAGACAAGGAGAGCATAAGAAAGAGTTAGTGGGAATGCCACCTCTTGCCCTGTAGTCATAGCTGACTCTAAATATACACTCAGCTCATTACAGGGCCTGTGCCACATTTTTCTCCTCAACCCCTGTCACCTTTACACTTTCATCAGATCCACTGCAATGTCTATCTTTAGCATTCTGAATCAGGCTTCACAATTCAATTCAAATTGTAACTTTTTTTGTAACATTGTAACATTTGTGCAACTCCCCAACTGCAAGACATTGGTTTCACTCTGTGCACAACTGAGAAAGTGAGAGAAAATTATGTTTTTGATGATGTCGCAAAGATAACCAAGGATGGAAAATATGCTCTGTGGCAAGTATGATCTCAAATGTCCTGAAAATCTAGGAATTTTTGAACAGACTGACATTTGTGCCAAGCTCTCCCTACTTGGCAAAGCATCCCTGTCATCAGCACAGTGATGACTCATTTAGCAGTACTCCAGGCTGCCACGACTCTAAGCTGCATGTGAAAACTCTTAGTGCTCAAGAAAGTGTCCATGGTGATAAACATCAAGTGTTACCGCTAGTGCCATTATAATTATATCACGTTTTATTAATTTAAATAATTTGCTGTATTTATAATGACCATTTTAGCAACATACTGTTTAATGACCTACAAAATAACTACAAAATGGATGAAGCTATATGAAAGTAAGAGGAGTGCAGAAGTAGTTTAAGAAGTAGTTCTTGTAGTAATTTCAGTCCTGGGGACACACAGAAACAATCTCAAACTATGAAAATATTAATTCATGTGCACTTGCAGTATGTTTTTGGAACAACTGCACCAGAGAAGGTCTGAGGTTAATACATGTTCTTTAAAATTTCACAGAAACATCTCAATTGGAATGATCACAAAACCATGAGATTCAGGAACGAAGTGTTATAGATTTTCTTGTGAAGTATTAACAGAGACACCGACTTTTATACAGGACATTTACTGTTGTCAGTAGCCTTAAGGCGACAGCCTTACAGTGTCCAACAAAACAAAAAAATCAGTGTGACATGATGTTTAAATATACACATCTCAGTGAGGTCAGATGTTCCTCAAGACACCTTGGCACAGCTAACTCTGGGACTCAGCCTAGCTGCAGATACCATGTCTAAAGAGGTTGTGACTTTCAACTTTATTAGGATGCCACCTGCTGTCCTGGAATATAGTGCTCCTGAGGTTGACTGTGGTGCATCCAGTTCAATGACACTTAAAGCACATACGATTTCTGAAGCTAAGATGTCTTAGCACAGTAATGGTGTCAAAATGATAATTAAGATGTAATTTGGCTTGCATTATCAAAGAGAACGCCAAACCAGAAAGATGACAAAATGCAAATGTAACAAAGGAAACAGCGCCTCTCCTCTTTGCAATTAGGAGGTTGTGAGAACGTACTGACAACGTTGCCACTACATTGTCACAATGTTCTGGGGATTTACATTTCAGCCTTGTGTCAATGTTGTGGGTAGGTTGTCACATCTTAACCGTGTTTGCTGGGTACCAGAATACTGCTGCACCATTTAAGGTGGTTCGAACGCGAATAATTCAGCCTCGAATTTTATGAACCAGACTAATAAATCAGAGAACTTGGCCACGCGTTCAGCTAAATCTGAATTTTTATTTTGAGCCCAAAATTGCACATGGGAAACTGAAATTCAAACATAAGTATACGTTGTCATTTTACATATTACATTTTCATTAGGCCACCCAGAAATTGAAGTACCGTCAGATAACATAGGTAATATCTTCATACCAAAATACATACATCCGTATTCCATCGCTTCGCGCTATACTGTCTCTCCATCAAGGACTCTGCCATTTCACACTAGAAATAATCTCGTCACGTGGTCAATACTCGCCGACTTACTGACGTCACGGTCATCTGTTCAGTAAGCATCACCGCAGCGGTCCGTGAGAGAAGGCTTCGAACAGGGTAAGCAATATCACGCAATGATAATATTGAATTTAACATCTTATTGCGCACAAAGCGGTTGTTTTGATGTGTATTTTTTCATATGGGTGATGTAAGTCATCTGCTGCTAGACTTCATACACGCCAGCTGCCTCACCTTTATCAGAGCCCAAACGCTATGCTGTGAAACCTGAACCGTCGCTGTATCTGAATAAGCAAATGGCTGAAACAAGCATCCAGACGGGCACAAACTGGTTCTTTTTATATGTATGCAGCGTCTTATCTTTTCTTGGTATCCCATTTTTCCTCGTTGTTTTTTTTATTTCTGTAAACAACTGTCGAATAATATGCTATTCAGTATTTCTTATATAATTGAATTCACCACTGACGACAGGCTGAGTGTACAGTCTCATCCTCCATCCTCAGAGCCCAGCGGAAGTTCATGGCGTCCTTGAGGCATGAAGGACGGTGCGCTAGTGATGAATGATGCTGCGGCGGTGGGCCGAGACAAGAGCCTGTGAGCACGAAACGATGAATGTTAACGTTAGATTTTGTCAGAGTGCTTCTTTTTTGGCGTTTTTCTTCGTCGTTAGATACACTCCTCCGTCAGTGAGCTTTGCGATTATAAAAAACGGATTATGTAGGCTGTGATATTGCTGGCGGTCTTCATTGCTGTGTCATGAGAACAGGCTACGTGACACTGACTCATTTAACCTTTCCTTTTTATGCTGTATGATGTAGGGTGGAAGGCTGTTCCAAATTTCTTTTTATTCTATTATATTATTTAAATGATGCTGTCTCATTCTTAATTTGACTGAATTTAGTTGAGAATTTTGTAATGATATTCAATATATCTTCACTTATTAAGCCTTAAAAATGAGTTTATAATTGGCAGCAAATTGCATTTAATGTGTATAATTTTTTTCTTCACAGGTCTTCTTTTCCATTTGTGGGAGACTCCCAGAGTCTTTGTTTCTGTGGTTGTTGAGACTGTGTGCAGAGGGTCACCATGGGAGAGCTTTTCCGTAGTGAGGAGATGACCCTAGCGCAGCTTTTCCTGCAGTCTGAGGCTGCATACTGCTGCGTCAGTGAACTTGGGGAGCTGGGAATGGTGCAGTTCAGAGATGTGAGTACAAACTAGACCATGGTGAAAATTCATTGCTACACTGTTTTAAGTGCTGATAAACAGTAATAAGTTGATATACAGATCTGTCTACACATCTCCACATCTCTTGTTCTCTTTCTCTTTAACTCTTTCTTGCTCTGGATTACTAGTTATTTGCAATATAAAAAAATGACAGTACTGTGTTATAAAGTTTGATAATTCTATGTGGAATCCTGCTTTTTTGTCTGCACAATGTGGAAATGTGACTGTGCATGTTATCATCCCCTTGTGCTGTGCAGCTCAACCCTGATGTGAACGTGTTCCAGAGGAAGTTTGTCAATGAAGTGAGGCGCTGTGAGGAGATGGACAGAAAGCTACGTGAGTCACACATACAACCATTGTCCAGTAGAACATGAATGGCCAAGTCTGATAGAAAATAAATGACTAAATGATGTTCCCTAAAAAGGGAAGGATGAAACCCTGACTTTTTAAGCTTGTAATAAAAAGGAATTCTGTCATATCAAATTGAGGCCTACATCTTGACCCAGTCATCCCGTTCTAAGACAGCTCAGATAATCTAGTGGAATTTCTGAAGGTAAAGCCTTCCAAAATGAACTTGGTCCCATTTAGTTGCATACCCTTGGGATAAGAATATTCTGGTGAAGGGAGTGAGTCCATCTTCTTAAGAGTCACAAACCCAGTTTCTGCCATGTTAACCAGGGTTTGTGGAGAAGGAGATTAAAAAGGCCAGCATCCCCACAGTGGACACTGGTGAGAATCCTGAGGTTCCATTTCCACGAGACATGATTGACCTCGAGGCAAGTTTACTTTAATTTCCAGCTGTATTACAACAGAAGTATTATGCAGATTGTCTTTTGGATGTTACCACGAAAACTGATATTTTTCATAGATTCATTCACAGCTGCAAGAAATCTTTCCTTGTAGCAGTAGCAGCTGGTCATTAGCAACTGGTTTTCCAAGTGAATGTCCTGGCATTTTGAAATGACAGGCAACCTTTGAGAAGCTGGAGAATGAGCTGAAGGAGATCAATACCAACCAGGAGGCCCTGAAAAAGAATTTTCTGGAACTGACTGAGCTCAAGCACATCCTCAGACGCACACAGCAGTTCTTTGATGAGGTCAGTTTTTTCTTTTGGGACAGAAATTTATTAGATAAAGGAATAGATGTGAGTGCTAACTTACCATTTAATATCATTATTATTAGATGGAGGACCCCAACCTGCTAGAAGAATCCTCCTCTCTGCTGGACCCCAGTGAGGCTGGGAGAGGGGCCCCACTGCGGCTTGGGTGAGTCTGCTTTACTGCATTGCCATGGTCACTGATCTCATTCCATCTAACTGCCCATAGGTGACATTTTCCACATTTACTATTGTACTGACAACTCAACAAAGAAGTAGTATAACGATGATTTGCTCTGCAGGTTTGTTGCTGGTGTGATAAACCGTGAGCGGATCCCCACTTTTGAGCGTATGCTGTGGAGAGTTTGCCGTGGTAACGTGTTTTTACGGCAGGCTGAGATTGAGGACCCTCTTGAGGACCCCACAACAGTGAGTTTACTTCCCTTTCTATTTAATCGTGCTTGTCATTTGTCCATATAGTATGAGAATTATTTAATGCACTTTTGCTACATCTTGCAAAAATCATGCAATTTGCTCATGATACATCTAAATAGCAGAATCTTTTTTTTTTTGCAATGTGGTAAGACCTCGTTCTGTGATGTAGTACTTTTATCATTTGATGTAAACATAATGCTCTTGTCTGTCTATGTTACAGGGTGATCAAGTACATAAGTCAGTGTTCATCATCTTCTTCCAAGGAGATCAGCTGAAGAACCGAGTGAAGAAGATCTGTGAAGGGTAAGTGAGCTTGTACCAGACGGCTAAATTATTTTTTGTTTTTTTTTTCAGTTCAGAGTCTTTGCATGTCTCAGGGTTCATTCCTCATACCATATCAGGGAATCCGTTCCACAACTCCTCCCACTTCCCAGTTAGGGATCTGGACTATAAAAATATAATAGATGTAAAATTTTTCATTGTATAATGGGAAAACGGCAGGTTGAGGTCCTCTATCTCAAACGTGGGTCTTCCATGAAAATGCTGTGCCTGGGCCAGACTTGCAAATTCATTGAAATTCAAACAAATCAACTTGCATAAATGAACATGGAGAGTTAAGGTAGAATTAGGATTCTGTTACTCTTCTTATTGATTATCGATTCCTTATAATCTATTACTTAGTCTTTGATGTCTTTAAACATGAATTTTGATGCCAGGTTCCGTGCGTCTCTTTACCCGTGTCCTGAGACACCACAGGAAAGAAAAGAGATGGCAGCTGGTGTCAACACCCGCATTGATGATCTACAGATGGTGCGTCTGAATCTTGATATGCCCTTAAGAAAATTCATTAACAAAGAATTTTAAATAAATGTATGAAATTATTGATTATATATTTACAAAAATGCATACAAATAAGTTTGTCTTGCTTTTCTAATCAGTGTTCACACTGGACATTTCTTAGAAAATGTTTTTTGTGTCCTGATGGTTTTGGTTTCATTTTCTAGATAATAATAGATTGCCTATTTGGGGAGGACAGAAATCCATGTCTTCAGTGATGACAGATGTTTACTTGTATTTACAGTAGTTTTGTTTTGGTATATAGTGCTTACAGCCTGCATGGCCTGGGACCTATTGTTCAAAAATACCGCATACTGTTGTAGCATGGTTGCATTTGTTAAATTTTAGTGTGTTGTGTACTTTTGAAAGGAGGATATGTTTTGAAAGATTTAAAGTGATATTCTCAATGATAGTCATCCACTTCAGTAGAGAATGGGAGTTACCAGTACTAGCTGTGCTATATTCAATTAGCCTCTAGCTTGTAAGCCTTTGGTGATGTGTATATACACCAATCAGACATAACATTATGACCACCTTCCTAATATTGAGTTGGTCCCCCTTTTGCTGCCAAAACAGCCCTGACCCGTTGAGGCATGCTCCACTAGACCCCTGAAGGTGTGCTGTGGTATCTGGCACCAAGATGTTAGCAGCAGATCCTTTAACTCTTGTAAGTTGCGAGGTGGGGCCTCCATGAGATCTCAATTGGATTGAGATCTGGGGAATTCGGAGGCCAAGTCAACACGTCAAACTCGTGGTTGTGCTCCTCAAACCATTCCTGAACCATTTTTTGCTTTGTGGCAGGCCATTATCCTGCTGAAAGAGGCCACAGCCATCAGGGAATACCGTTTCCATGAAAGCGTGTACGTGGTCTGCAACAATGCTTAGGTAGGTGGTACGTGTCAAAGTAATATCCACATGGATGGCAGGACCCAAGGTTTCCCAGCAGAACATTGCACAAAGCATCACACTGCTTCTGCCGGCTTGCCTTCTTCCCATTGTGCATCCTGGTGCCATGTGTTCCCCAGGTAAGCGACGCACACGCAGGCGGCCATCCACGTGATGTAAAAGAAAACATGATTCATCAGACCAGGCCACCTTCTTCCATTGCTCCGTGGTCCAGTTCTGATGCTCATGTGCCCATTGTTGGTGCTTTCGGCAGTGGACAGGGGTAAGCATAGCGCCCTGACTGGTCTGTGGCTATGCAGCCCCATCTGAACAAACTGCAATGCACTGTGTATTCTGACACCTTTCTATCAGACCCAGCATTAACTTCTTGAGCAATTTGAGCTACAGTAGCTCGTATGTTGGATCGGACCACACGGGCCAGCCTTCGCTCCCCACGTTCATCAGTGAGCCTTGGCCGCCCATGACCGTGTCGCCGGTTTACCACTGTTCCTTCCTTGGACCACTTTTGATAGATACTGACCACTGCAGACTGGGAACACCCCACAAGAGCTACAGTTTTGGAGATGCTCTGATCCAGTCATCTAGCCATCACAATTTGGCGCTTGTCAAACTCGCTCAAATCCATTTTTCCATTTTTCCTGCTTCTAACACATCAACTTTGAGGATAAAATGTTCACTTGCTGCCTAATATATCCCACCCACTAACAGGTGCTGTGATGAAGAGATAATCAGTGTTATTCACATCACCTGTCAGTGGTCATAATGTTATGCATTCATCAAATCTGTCAAAATATGGATCCACCTATTTTAATAAACAGAAAAAGGTCTAGATAATGTTTTTCCTATGTGGGTTTTCTTGAGTACAGTAACATATTTTGATTATAATGTATTGTGACACACATCTGTTGTCGATTGGGAATTGGAATTATTGCAGTGTGGTCTAGCACTTTAGTCTTTAGGCCAAATGACATTTAAGGCCCTGAGGGGTTCTTACGAGTGGAAACAATTTTGGAGAATTTAGAGATTGTTCTAATTGTCATGGAGACTGGAAAGAGTATTACAGTATGCAGTTTACTCATCAGACAGCCAGCTCTGCTCCAGCCCCCCTTTTAGTGACAAACCCTAATAATGCCTATTACTTCTGTTCAGCATTGGCTTGCCTTGTGATTTGTTTATGACTGAAGTCAGAATACAAGACCCTAGTTGAGCACTTTCAATCTGTCAAATGGAGACTGAAATTGGCATTCATTTATAAGACAGAAAAACTGGTCCAAAATCCTTCTCTCTGCAACAGCAAGTGATTACAGAGTAGTTTCACAGCGTCGTCTGTATTATGTGATGGGATAGCTAAATAACTGTATTTGACTGTTCTTCTGTATTTTACTGCACTGTTGGTTTTGGTATCAGCTCCCTGTGTTCTGTAATACAGGTGCTGAACCAAACAGAGGACCACCGACAGAGGGTCCTTCAGGCTGCTGCTAAAACCATGCGTGTGTGGTTCATCAAAGTAAGGAAGATGAAAGCCATCTACCACACACTGAACCTCTGCAATATTGATGTCACTCAGAAGTGTTTGATTGCGGAAGTGTGGTGCCCCATCTCCGATCTGGACTCCATCCAGTTTGCCCTGCGAAGAGGCACGGTGAGGCAGCCAGTCACTGTTCGTCTACGATTGATTTTATTCACTCACCCCCAACAGTGTTCACTATTTTAGCCAATGAATGTTGTGAGTTGTAAGGAGAACTAGATTGACCGCTTAAACCACATCCTAATGCTGTGTTGCACACAATATAGACTACATGAATTTATTTGTATTGTAAATACTCCTAACACTAGACAGAATACTAGAGAGATTTCTGTATTAGGAAAGCATTAGGCATAGCCTGTGTTACCAAAAGGTTATTTTCTGGCACTGTGTTTTTGAGTCTTTCTCTTATTTCCACTTTCAGGAGAGGAGTGGATCCACTGTTCCTTCGATATTGAACAGAATGCAGACCAAACAGACTCCGCCCACCTACAACAAAACAAACAAATTTACCTCGGGCTTCCAGAATATTGTGGATGCTTATGGAATTGGAACCTACAGGGAGATTAACCCAGGTACCAACAAAGTTTTAGTATTAAATTTTTACTCTCTCTATCTCTATCTCTGCAGATTATTTGCATAACACAGATGTGTGCACAGGATGATAGGATGTTTCTGCTGGCCGCAAATAGATTTACACTAGACACTAGATGTAGATGTACACTAGAAAGTTTACACTATATTATGTATGATGTTAGTCACATTCTTTGTTAAACATCTGCCAGCTGCTTTAACCTGTTTTAGATCACAAAATGCAGCTTTAGTTAAATTTAAGAAAATTAATTATTTCTAAAGGCAAAGATTGTCAATAGTTGCTATCCAAATTTAATCATGTCAGCTGAACTAAAGTGCCCTCCACAAATATTGGAACGCCTGGTAAACATGAATAAAACAGGCTATAAAAAAACATTTTATTGCTTATTCTTTGATATTTCATTCAGTATATAAATATATTAGAATATAATGAAATAAAATGACATAAAAATATAATCTTTATTTGAAGTACGATGACTGAAAGAAAAACCTAAATCTTACCATGAAATCAAATCTATGTCTTCCACAATTGTTATTAGCCCTTAATTTAATACTTTGTGCAACCTCTCTTTGCTAAGATAATAGCTCTGAGTCTTCTCTCATAATGCTTAATTAGAACACAGTGCATGGGAGACCATTGAGATCATTGCTCCGTACAGAATCTGTCCATATCCTTCACAATCCAAGGTCCACTCTGGTGGACTCTTCAGCTCATACCACAGGGGACTGGGAAGGCCATGGCAAAACCTTGATTCTGTGATTTTCTCTTCAATTCTGTGATTCGGATCATTGTCCTGTTAGAAGATCCAGCCACAGCTCAGTTTAAGCTTTGTGGCTGGGGCAGTCAGGTTTCGGTACCATGAAATCTTGTATCCAAACAAGGTGTCCAGGTCCTTTGGATGAAAAACAACCCGACAACATAGTACAACCACCACCATGCTTCACAGTGGGGTTAGGTTCTGCACGGGTATTTTTGTGTCTATGCCAAACCTCTCTCTGGTATTTGTTGCCAAAAATATCTATTTTGGTCTCATCTGACCATAGAACATGGTTGCACTAAAAATCTAGGCACTAGGAGTTTGTTGGTCCTTGATAGCAGAGGCCTTTTTCTGAGAACCTTTCCAAACAACCTGTAGTTTTGGGAGATATATTGCCACGATAGCGGAAATGAAATTTTTCAACTGTTTAAATAGTTTCTTATAGTCATTTTCTGATTTGTGTGACTCAGCAACATTTTGTTGCACATATTGGAATGAATGACAAAGGGAATTTGGCCGCTGTATCACCTCATATTTTTACCCCAGTGAAACAGGAAGTCATGGCTGACTGTTTGTGTTCCTAATCGCTCAGCTGACCTCTAAAATATAAAATATGAACGGGAAAATAATTCAGTTAGATTTCACTCATAAGAATTTTTTAGAGTACCAACAAAAATCTTTATTTAATGATAAGATTTGAGTTTTTCTTTCAGGTTGTTCTTTCTTTTGTTTTGCTTTTTGCTCATGTTTACCAGGAGTGGCAATATTTGTGGAGGGCACTGTAAATCATGACTGCACTGTGTTTTTCTTTTTACCTTATTGCTGAAGATTCTTTATTGTCATGCACTATTTATGTTGGTTTTTCCTTGAACATCGTTTTGTTGTGTGTTTTTGTGCTGGCTTCCTGTAGCACCCTACACCATTATCACCTTTCCCTTCCTGTTTGCTGTGATGTTCGGGGACATGGGTCACGGCTTGTTAATGACCTGCGCCGCCCTTTACCTTGTCATCAGAGAGAGCCGCCTGCTCGCACAAAAGAGCGACAACGAGGTCTGAGCTTAATTATTACTGATTCTCTAAGCGTATGATACATCATTACTGATTCCTTTGGAGCTTATAATGCTTTACAAGTTCTCTCTGAGCATATGCATTATTACTCAGATTATGGTATCCATTGTAATAATGCATATGCTCAGATTTTGGTATCCACTGTAATAATTACTTTATTTGTATTGCTTCATAATCCGACTGCATAACATGTTAAGTGAGGTTATCAAAGTAGCAGAGCATAAATTAGCCTGACATAGTGGTCATCAAATCTGATTTAACTAATGCAGGGCTGAATGTGCTAAAAATGATTTTAACGATAACATCTCTCTCTCTCTCTCTCTCTCTCTCTCTCTCTCTCTCCACCCCTCTCCATCTTTCTTTGTCTGCATGTATGTAGATGTTTAACATGATTTTTGCAGGCCGATATATAATCCTACTTATGGGAATATTTTCCATGTACACTGGAGTCATCTACAATGACTGCTTCTCCAAATCACTCAATATGTTTGGTTCTGGGTGGAGCGTGAAGCCCATGTTTGGCCCCAAAGGAGGCAACTGGTCGTAAGTTTATCAGATTCAGTTTATCAGATTACTAGATTAAACAGAGAACATAAATCAGTAAGACTGAGAGATATTGACAATTAGCTGCAGCTTAGTCTATGTTAAAATTATTTATGATTTATTAAATTCCTGGTAAGTCTTTTAGGCCTCAGTGATTGGCTGTATCAAGGATTCTACCAGGTCTGATTTTATTCAGGCATATGTTGTGTAAGAACCTGTAACTAAACTAAAATGATGAAGTGAGCAAGCTAGAGTGGGTCTGGGCAGTGGTGACAGCAGAATTTATGCTAACATAGACAAACCTTGTTGCTGGTTAGGTGAGGAAGTTGGTGTGCTACCCTAAGTTAACAAAACCTCCTAAAAGATAGGAGGAACTTCAGTTAAGAGATAACTAATTTCTCACTGAATTTTTAAATTTTTGTGTGTGTTTGTATTTGTAGATTTGAGACTCTAGATGGAAATGCAATTCTGCAACTTGATCCTGCAGTACCTGGAGTGTTTGGTGGACCATATCCTCTGGGCATTGACCCAGTAAGTCAATAAAATATTAACATAATAAAAATATTGACAAAAAGACAGAAATTACTTGTGTAACTCAAAACCCATTCCCCCATCCTGTGTGGTTCCACTTCCATTAGAACAGCCCTAACATAAAAAAAGTTCTGTTAGATTTCTTATGAAGTTGACAACGTTGGCGATAAAGCCAAAGGGAAAGTGTGAGTAAGTATTGTTATGCATTAATCTAATTCTTTCTGTATATTTGTCCTCTATTAGATTTGGAACATAGCGACAAACAAGCTGACCTTCCTAAACTCATTTAAGATGAAGATGTCAGTCATTCTGGGTGTGATTCACATGCTGTTTGGAGTCACTCTTTCACTCTTCAATCATCTGTGAGTATTTGCATGCAAATGGATGTTCATCCACATTGTTTACTCTTGTATATTTATTGGAATTTTCATGTGTTTTCATGTTGTAAGGGGTGTTTTGAATAATGTAAATGCATGCATGGAAATTCAAGTACTGCTTTATTGCCAATGCTCTTTCTTTAGGTACACTACATGTCCAAAAGTATCCAGACATCTCTTCTAATTTAGTTACTTTAAGGTGTATCCATTGCTGAAACAGTTGTTCAATTGTGCACATACAACTTGAACAGTCTCCCTACTAAAAAATTGCAATTAAATGGAAGTGTTCTGGATCACCCACATATCACCACCATTCTCAGTGTCACACATCAGGCAGTGGGGTACAGAGCTCCCCAAAATTGGACTGTGAAGCACTGGAGCTGCGTACTCTGCAGCTCAAATAGCATTTGCGAATTAATTGTTAGTACTTGTCCATATGGAAGAAAAAAATATATACATATATGTGCTCATATTAAAAATACTGGTGAAATATAAGTGATGTTTTAAAATATAAACTATGTGCAAAAATATATTTTGCTGTGCTATTTTGAATATTTAAATATATGCCAGTATATGCACATGTATGGGTGACTTCATTAATGCTCTTGTGACTAAATGCAGTCGGATCCTCACAGAAATGTGCCAACATCTAGCCTTGCCAGAAGAGTATAGGTGGTTACAGTAGAACTCAATGGCCAAGCTGCCATTCTCTGTCAACTTTGAAATTCATTCTTGGTGATACATGAAAAAAAAAACTTCTGAAACTAGGTGTCCTCATAACCTCATAGCTAGTTTGGGCCATGCTCCTGACTGTAGTCTTTTGACCATGTTTGTTGTGTTCTCAGGTATTTTAAGAAGCCTCTGAACATCTTCCTGGGATTCATTCCTGAGATTGTGTTTATGAGCTGCCTGTTTGGATATCTTATCCTGCTGATTTTCTATAAGTGGACGGCCTATGATGCAGCCACCTCTAAAGATGCTCCCAGCCTCCTCATTGCCTTCATCAACATGTGTCTCTTTAACTACAGTGATCCGAGTAACAAACCACTATACAGAGGACAGGTAAAAATACATTCACATACACATTTGCACATGTCCCTATGGAATATATGTGCAATATGACCATAATCTCTGTCTCTTTTACACACGCTTACAGTAATGTACAAAAATCAGCGTTCACCCTTTTTTAATTTAATTTACGGCCAAAATGTCTAATAGGTACAAGTCATTCATTTTTCATTGTCACTGGAAAAAAACTATTTAAACAAAAATTACATAATAAGTCTTTAGTCTTAGAAGGTGGTTTTCTTCTTTTCACAATCCAAGTAATCCCAAACACAATATAGGTAGGGTGAACAGTCTACTGTTCTAAGACCCCCAACAGCTTCTTTGTTTACATCTTGATCTTCGCAGCAGTGTTCTTGGAGTTGTAGTCTTGCTGTAGAATGATTTTCTGCCCAAATCGAATAAATGAAATATTGATTGGCTTAGTGATGTAGGCATTTGTATAATTTCCTGCTTAATATTTGCTTCCTGCCTTTTTTCTGACACTGAAAAAATAAATGACTTGTTTTTAATGGTCGTGTCGACTGGAAAATAAAAGAGTGGCTTGTGATATTTTCACTGTTCTATATATCATCCGTTGCATCTAATAATGACATAGTAATCAGTCATCAGTCTTGCAACACTGTGTTTAAGGAATGTTAATTAGAGAGATGTATTCATTAATATTTTCTTGTTTACTTTCAGGGTATATCTATGCATTATTTTGATGGAGGAAAATGTTTAACAGGCTAGTGAAAGTGTTTTACAATGCTTTCTCTCTGTCTTCCTATAGATTGGGATTCAGTCTCTGTTAGTGGTGATTGCTTTGGCCTGTGTGCCCTGTATGCTGGTAGTGAAGACCATGGTTCTCCGTCGCCAGTACCTCTGGAAGAAGCATCTAGTAAGTTCACACATTCTAGTTTTTGTCCTTTTTCTCCTTGTGTTGGCAGTACATCTCTGCATCAGATCATGCACCAGAGGACTGTTTTTTTTTTAGATCAGTGGTTTTCAAATCAGTCTTTAGGGCCCCTAGATGGTCCATATCTTTCCTCTATCCTAGCCCCTGAACCAAGCCATTAAGAAAACTGAATACCTCGTAGAGCAATACTGGGCGCTGGTATAGATCAGAAATATGTACCATCTAGAGGGATTTGAGGACTGAGATTTGAGAATCATTGATGACTGATTTTAGATTTTATTTAGCTTTTATTTAGATTTATTATTAAAATGGATTGATTAAAAATTCCAATATTATGTTTTCCATTATATTTAAAAGTTGTTCCTATACAGTTAATGAGTTTGGAAAATGTCCACTGGTCCTCTGGGTTGTAGAATTCACTAGTCCTCTGGTAGTAGACAGTGTTTCTGTTTTTAATGAACCTTGTGAGGTGTCCAAATCTGGTCCTGGAATTTCACAGCTTTCCTTTCTAATACATCTGATTGTTAAGACCTTTAGGAGCTGAATGAGGTGTATCAGTGAAAGGAAAGTGCTGAACCGAGCAGAGCTGTGGGAGACAGCAACGTGACTACTTTGGACTGCCTTATTACATGGATGTTGCATACAGTAGATGAGATACATAAGACCCTAAATAATTGTCTCAATCTGTTAAAACTAATTCTTTATTTTATCTAGCATTGGTCTGGCCCAGTGGGGCACCTACCATGTAATTAGTCATATTTTAGATGCCTTTGCCTATTTTTATTTTCCCTTCATGCTAGACATTGAAAACAAGGTGTTTGCTCTATAGACAGTGCCATTCATTTGATTAGTAAGAGCACAGTGTTTTTAATCTGATTGGCTTTGGATTAGCTGAATGGCAGTTTAATAGTAAATGTTGTGGACAACACTGATTATCATTTTTATAATAATTCAATGTGGATTTTATTTCTAGTACACTGCAATGAGACAATACATGTGAAATGGTCTCAATGTACAGTATGCAATCACAAACTGAGTAGAAGCAGAATAAGTTATATCATATTTGTGTGTAATAATTATTTGTGTAGATATTAGGATTATAGATATTTAGACGTTATGGGCATGATACCTTTATTTGTGCTTGTCTTCAGTATCTTGAAGAGGAAACCGGGTAGCTATGGTCTAATGTAAGGTAAAACATTTGTAAAAATAAACTTATAAAGAAAAGAAAAGTCAAAGTAGCAGTGCTAGTTTGAGTGCACAGTTTTACAATCAAAAAAATCCCCAACTTTGTCTGTTTTATTGCAAACATATTTTTTTTTTTAAATAAGAAAAAGAACATGAACAAACCAGTAATAATTGACCATATAAAATAAAATGTAAAATAGACAACACAAACTTAATTTAAGGTGTGTGTTTGGTAGGTGCCCCAAGAAACCATACTGCATACACGCAGGCAGACATACTCAAACAGACACCAAAAGAGCCCGTGGCGTGCTGTGAGCCATTCAGACTTTGTTGGGTTTTGTATTTAGTCCCAGATGAGGGAGGCAAGCCCTGCTGAGAAACTAGAAACTTTAGAGCAGGCAGGCACCAGCTCACCCACCGGACTCACCCAACAGGGCACGCAGAAGTTTGGGGGCGTCCGGGTTGGAAATGGTCCCACCGAGGATGAGGCAGAGATCATCGAGCATGACCAGTTATCCCAGCATTCTGAGGATGGAGATGAGGTGGGTGTGTCTAGAGGCTGAATGAGGTGAAGATATGGTGATGTAAACAATCTAGTAGTAGGAGTTCTGGAGAAAGAAGATTTTTTGGGAAAAATGCTGTTTTTGTATATTACAAGAAGTATTTATTTATGAATTTGTTTATGGAAATGATATAATAGAGTGAAGTAGCGATTCTTATTTAAGCCTAAGTCTTAGGACACCTGAGAAAATTATAGTTACAGCTATTTGATGTTTATTTTTATAGCTGTTGCTCAGAAAAACACTAACATGAGAATGGTAATGCAGTTATTAATTGTGATTTAGATGTGATCTCTCTGTTGATATTTAATAGCTCCCAACTGACGACAGACACAGCTCAAACTCAAGTAAAAATTATTTACTTTTAACCTGTTACAGCGCCCATCAGTAGTTAGAACTTTTGTTGATGTGTTTTAATTAATGTATTTTCGTCCTTTTTTTATTTGCAGGTATTTGCCTCAACTGATGAAAATGCATACACATCACATTCGCTTTGTTGCAATGTGAACAATGGTGGTGCAAGCAAAAAAATGTAGAAAATATTTGCAATCAGCTAAAATAATTGTGATCAGGTGATTATGTAATAATTGTGACCATCACAGTGCAAAACCAAAATTGCGTTTTTCCAACCACCTCACAAGATCTCAGTAAAACAAGAAATTCTTGTTGTTAATGTTTATTTGTTTTTATTAATTTGTTATAGGGTTTTTACAAGCAAAATAAACACACTGCCCAGATAAATAGTTATATACTTTCTCAGGTGGCCTAGGATGCCAGTGCAGCAGCATGTATGCATGCATACTTCTGTTTATATTTCTGTTTCATTTCATACAGAATTAGATGTTTAAAACACAGATCAAACTGCACTTTGTCATGTGGTTTCTCATGCAGATATTTCAAAGCATTTTGCTCTGTTCATTTATGTATGGTCATAAACAAATCAGAGTTTGTTTTAGTAAGGGGGTGTCTGCTCTCTCAGACAATTGCAACAGACTCTCCTGCACAGCTTAAGTGATTCCTGCCTGCCAGGATGTCTAACTTTGAGACTGTCATCCCCACACCCCACCACATTAATATTTTATTTGTTAATCATAATTCTTCCTCTAAATTGTTAAATAAACACTTTTAATTATGAGGGTTAAAATAATGATTTTTAATAAAAATCTAAAAATCTAATGGCACTATAGCTAGCGAGAGAAAGGTACGAAGGAGGCATAGATTAGGAGAATGAGAAAGAATGAGAGTAGCTTCACAGTCATTTGAGAAACGTAAACAGGGGGATATCTTCTCCCAAGGACACAGTGAACACCCTGCATCACCAGCTCCATGCATTCCAGCAACATGGAAAATATTTTCATCATCAGCTCTGAATGCCACAGCTGTTTTTCCTGTACTCCTAAATAATCCTGTACTCCTAATCTCAATTTAAAAATTCCACTGGGAAGAAGAATTGAATTGCCTGTGTCTAATATGTATTTATATTAATGCACCTCTTGCAAATACTAGGGTTTCCATTCCGTTTTGTGTGTCACAGTAACATTTGTATGTTCCCCATAGTGGTGAAGTTTGGTTTCTGAACCACCTGACTAACTCCCATTTCTGCTTCTGTTCAAGCACTCAGAGGAAGAGCCGGTAAGACAGATGTGTGTACTTGTGTGTATAGGGGGAGTGTGTGAGAGAGAATGTATGTGTGAGAGTGTGTACAGTTGAGTTTTTTCTAAGTGAAAATAAGTTGGCACTTTCTCTACAGGGAATAAACTTAAATAATTTTAGCAATTTTAGTGCATAAGTAAATGTTTTTTTTCAATCAAGTTTTATAAAATAAAACATTAAGTATCAAAAGTGGCATAACCTTTGCATAGGCCATCTTTTATGTTTAATCTTCTCTGCAGATAGAAAATCAGCAAAACATGTAATTTGATCAGGGATGCCCAAATTTTTGAATATGACTGTATGTATTTAAATGCACTTGTGTTTACCTAAATGAAACATACTGGACACCTATACTTTATTTTCATTTAAGGATGCAATTAACTGAAAAGGACACAAATTGGTGGGCAAGCAATGCAATGTGTACAATGACATTGTATGCAATTTGTACATGACAATAAAACCAATTAAACTACATACTATTAAATTTATTCTATATCCAGTTTAATGAGCGATGAGGTTTGCCCTCACAAGGTGTGAGCTGCATGTGTTTTGACAAGCTTAGAGTCAGGCCATAGAATGAGTCAGCAGTACTCAGTTTGCAGAGTTCCCCAGTAGCCCATGCCTCTGCTGTAGAACAATGAGTGCATTAGCTCACTCTTTTTCCATGGGTCTGATGGAGCCACAGAGGACTCTGAACAAAAGGATCAGGTGGGGAAAAGGGAAGCAGGTCTTTGCCAAGCTAAACCTTACCAGACTAACATAGAGAGAAGCACTTCTGGTGGGTTTCCTATATGATAACAGAGAAAAGCACACTTTAACCTCTGTTCTTATGACATACCACGCATAATATCCACATGTGCCACTATCTGAATGGCTCAGTAGAACACAAAGTTGACTTTGAAGGTATTAGCCGAGAAGGAAGACTACTTGGTTTGAGAGCTTGTTTCATGGGTCAGTTGAAGGTTGGGAAAAAAAAGCTAGCCTGCTGTCACAGCCACCAACCATTGTTTTCAACAGAAATGACTCAGTGTAGCATACTGAATGAGAGGATATTATGATGGAAAATAATGATTAGAGGTCCAGCATGCCTACTCCTTGAAGGAACAGTATTTTTTTATTTTCAAATGTTCTTGTCATGCAGGGGGAGTGAAAGGAATGTTTCGCAGCATGCACAATACTGTTACGTTGACAAAAAGCTCTTACCATTGTCATCATCTAGAAATACACATTAAATTTGAAATGAAGCAATGACTATCAGATTACCTGTGAGAGTATGTATATCTATAATGGTTAATTTTTCCTCTTTCCATTACTCTTGGACAGATTAATCTTTGGGTACTGAGGAGATCAATTGCTTTAGTTTTGAAAGTGAAGTGTTTTCCCATTCTTACTTGATACAGGATTTCAGCTGCTCAGCAGTTCAGGGTTTTATATTCTGCAGATAATGAAATCCCTAAGTTCTTTGCTATTTTACATTACGAAATGCTGTTCTTGAATTGTTGCACTATGAAACCACAGCAGTCTTCCACAGAGTGGTGAACCCCTCCACATCTTTACTTCTGAAAGACTCTCTGGGATGCTCTTTTTATACCCAATCATGTTACTTACCTGTTGCCAATTATAATACTTAGTAGTGAGATGTTCCACCAAGACTTTACCAGTCTTTTGATGCCCCTGTCCCAACTTTCATGAAATGTGTTGCTGGCATCAAATTCAAAATGGGCATATATGTTAAAGAAAAAACAACAAAAAACAGTTTTTACATTTGATATGCTGTCTTTGTATTATTTAAAATTACATATAGAGTTTAAATGATTTGCATAACATTGCATTCTGTTAAATTTTGCACAGCATCCCAACTTTTTTGGAAGTTTTGTACTTTAGAAAGCTGTAACCTCACCTTCCTGTTCATTAGGCTTACCACTGATTTGCATATTGTGATAATTCCTCATTTCATGCTAGTGCAGTCTTTGTATCTACATCTTGTATCTACATCTTGAACAGTATTCTTGACCTGTTTTTCTTCATAATTGAAGGTTTTACTTGATGATTCACTGTTGTGGTTTCATGGAGTCTGATAGGTTGCATGCTATTGCTGAGCTAATCAGTGCATTCCTGCTTCTTGACAGTATACTACAGGTAATGTTTTGCCTTTGTCTCTGTTCGATTTATTCTGACTTCTAATACGTCTGTGGTCCCCCTGTGGCAAGACAGCTGGTGCAGAAGCTATAGAAGCAGAGAGACACATCTGTCCAGCAAACAACTGAGCCCAATTTGTTATCTCCTGACATAGGAGGACTGTGTCAAGAATGCTGTGATTTCTGTATGATACTCACAGTATATAGGACAGTGTCCTTACATTAAAACTGACATTTTGCACTTCATAATCATTGTTTCATTTCAAATTTAGTGTGCTGGAGTACAGATCCTGGCTTAAAAAAAGCCAGAAGCTGTCACTATACACTGTATATTGTATATATTCACTGATTGTCTCCTTTTTTGCCCTTTTTCGTCTCCCTCCTTGTCATACTCTGTCCCACTACACGCTATTTTACGCAACCTGTCCAACTCACTACCCTGCCCGATATCCTATCCTTTTTCTCAATATGTGTACAGTTTAACTTTGGAGATGTAGCAGTCCACCAGGCCATCCACACAATAGAGTATTGCCTTGGCTGCATCTCCAACACTGCCTCCTACTTACGTCTCTGGGCTCTCAGTCTGGCTCATGCACGTGAGTTTTCACGCGCTCGTATGCGTGCACATATTAATGACTCACAAATTTAAGTACATGTACACACATGCAGTTAACATTAATATGCTTACATATATCTCTACTTTGTGCTAAATAGGAATAATTTTAAATTTCTTTCTTTTTCTCAGAGCTGTCTGAGGTTTTGTGGGGAATGGTGATGCACCTGGGCCTGGCATCCAGGAGTGGTGGTGGATTCTTCAGCCTATCTATTATTTTCCCAGCCTTTGCCACGCTGACAGTGTGTATTTTGCTCGTCATGGAGGGGCTGTCTGCATTCCTGCATGCTCTGCGGCTGCACTGGCAAGTCACACCTACATATACTTCATGAGGGATCTGTGGTGTGCTCTTGGGGTGTAAGAGTATGAAGTTAATTTTTAAATTTCTTTTGCTTCTAACTTTGGCACTTTTTAACAGTCAGCAAAATCAGCAAACAGGAAAAATTAAAGCAAAGACTGTCAAAACTCTCATTATTTGTATTTGCAACATATTTTGGACATTCTGATACTTAATATTTGCTTGTGGATTTTATTATTGTATATCTTTGTAACTTTTGGCACAAAATTAACTCCATATAAGAGTGCAAAAGTTGGTAAACTAATTAACCTCCTGGGTAAACTAGAATTAACATAACAATGCTGCAAATTGTCTTTAGATTTAGTTTGCTGAAGTCTGAAGAGCTGGTGAATTAAACAGATAAAAATACAAAAGCATAAGAAGAGCCTGTTATAATCTCACATCCACTGTTTGTTAGTGTTAATTGGCATTGGATTGCTTGGATCTGAGTGTCTTTTTTGGGCAGCCCTGTTTATCTTATCAAGCAAAGAGCACTCTATATGCTAATATAGCTATTAACATTAAAACAAGTATCCACATGAATCGAACAGAATAATGTGCTGAGGTGCATAGATTCCTCAGTAGACAAGGCCCTCATTTATCAGTATTACACAGAGAGGCAGAAACCTGATGTAGTCTTTTTTCTGCAGGCAACATTATGACAGTAACTGAAAGCGTGTTTTCAGAAAAGTATTACTAAACTTTCCTCTCATTCTGAAGCATCTGTTTGAAATAGACAGCATCCCGGTGACAGTACTTTCCATGACTCAAATTATGGGCTTGAAACTTGCACAGCCATGTTAAAAGGAAACCTATGGAAAAGTGCACAGAGCAGTGGACACTGACTTCATTTTATGAATAGCAACTTTTGTTTATCCTTTTTCTTCACTTCAAATCTTCCATGGCACTAAGCCAAACCTCCAGTCTTTTGAAGTGGTGCTGCTTCCCTACTTGTCATACAGCTTAAAAATAATTAGCATTTGTTTCTATTATTAGTGTGCTAGATGAATGAATTATGATTTTTAGTGTCTTTGTTGGTGTGTGCACACAAAGAATTAGTGCATGTTTATGGCCAGGCACCTGCTCTTTAAACTGCAGGTCATGCCGATTGTAAAAGCCAGAGCCAACATAATTTGTGAATAAGTACATCAGAGTTTTCCATAGTAAGACTATACACTATACACTGCACTTTATGGACATTTTTTGAACATGGCTTTGGAAATATTTTTGAACTCAATACAGGGGTATGAAGTTTGAATGAGATTCCTAGTAGTGAGTACTTAGCATTTAGCAGTTCGTTTAATTTAGCATAATGCATAGAGCTTTTGAAAAGTTGTTATGGAAGCTACAGGTGTTTTGCCCTGTATACTTGGTGTAACCTCTGTATGACCTCTGTCAACTATCCAGGGTGGAGTTCCAGAACAAGTTCTACACAGGCCAGGGCTTCAAGTTTGTGCCATTTTCCTTTGACAGTATCCTGGAGGGCCGCTTCGACGAGTAAAACTGCCCTCTGCTTCTCCCAGCGCACAGCAGGACTTCCCAGTATTCTCCTCTTTGCATGGAACTCACGTATATCCTCTCTTCTTGTGTAAAAGTAAAGTTGCTGTTATGAAGTGTCCAAAAGCTGTAACATTTGACCTTCAAAATGCCCTTCTGGAAGCCATTTTGTTAGATGATGTACCTGAGTGCTGTCTCTCCTCCTCTGCAGAACAAATACAGGACCCCTAAAACCTCAGAGATTAGATTTTACCTGAGTGCTTTATAAATTGTAACATTGTACTTTGTGCTACACATCACTGTTATCATGTGACTTATGTAAGATGATATGTTTATGCTTAACTATGATCACAAAGCCAGTCAATAATTCATGATTGTCAGAAACAGTAACCAGTTTAGGGTCCAAACACAGTGTTGAAATATGAAACATTAAGGGTTAAACTTTATCGGGGGCCATAAAAGCCTCCATAAACGTAATTCCTAAACAGTTTGTCATTACGGAAACCTCACTAGACTGGTAAAGGAATTCCCACAATAACAAAGCATAGGGGATCCCCATCCTCATGTGGAAAATGCTCATCACATCTTTTAATGGCCCTCTCTGATCGCTCTCTCTCATCTGCACTCGTTTTGTCATTGGAACAACTGTTTGAGCAAAGGAAGCAGGAGCAGATGTTTCCTCTAAATGCTGTGAGTTGATCAAGTTCAGGATTCTTTAAATTTGACTTGACATTTGCCAAACTATATTTTCCTAATCTGTTCTTGCTCTTCATGGTGTCATGTTACAGGTAACCATCACTGTTTCAAAAGGTTGATGGCAGCTATAATAAACAACAGTGACATATCTCTAGATTTTTGAGAGACAACAGGAGAAACATTTCACATGTACTCATGTATTAGTTTGTAAAGTGTGTGAGAGTGCACTCTTCAGTCATTGCATATATCTGTACAAGGTTGTTCATGTTGTATGGCTTCTGGTTATAGTAGCAGAAATACTATACAGTTCCTTTGCAGTGGCTCTGGTCCAAAACAACTAATAAGAGATGTTGTGCCCTATGCTGTTGATGGAAATGTTGTTCTGTATCTAGATGTGATGTTGATGTATGAGTGTATGCATGTACCACAAGTGATAACACTTCAGATGTGTGTTTGTTGATGTTTGTGATAAGGTGGAGCACATCTCTGTCACTATTAAAGAGAACCTGCTGGGAGAAAGCCTTGGGAGTGTCCATTCTTTTGTTTTAACTAATCCAGTGACAAAACATTGTAGTTAGGTTCAGTCTTCATACTGTAGAAATAAGTGACCTGACTTCTGTCAAGTGTGTGAGTGTAAGGAGATGCACAGATTTCTGAGATGGCAGTAATTTACTAGCAGATTTTGTTAATCCTTGTGGTTCCACAATTTGACTTTCTCATTGTTTGTTCCTAGCATTCTATCCAAGCAGAGTGAGTAAGAGGAGGGCTGAGCCTTCACCATAGTTGCACCAAGTACATCCAAAATACAGAAGCATGGATATACAAACCTGTGAAGCTGAAAACAGCAAATAAAGTTTGATTTAGACATATATTTACCATACCTCTCTAAGGGAAAAGCCATCCGGGATAAAAAGAGATTCTGCTGTGCAACTTAAAGACATCATATATTCTTTTCAGTACATAAATAGAAGTGTACACAGAGGGAATCCTTTAAAGCACACAGACACATGCACACTTCATAGCCTGGCACCAGAAGGGAGGAGAGTTCTGTTCCTACAGTAAACACCATTCAGATTCCTGTGCAGGTCAGTGCTTGTCTCCATTCTCCATGTATCTTTAACATGGAAATTGCAGTCATCCTGATGAAATAAATCATCAAGTTTCTTTAAGATTTCACTCCAGAACCTAACAGTAGTCTGAGGGTGAAATAAAGAGCTCATCTGGGTCTGTGACTTCTTAAATGCTTGTTTAATGTGAGTAGATTACACGAGTGTTTGGAATAATTCTCATCCTGTGCACCTATATTGTAATATAATAATACTTCTTAATAAAACTGTATACTCTATAATAATTCTTGATAAATACTCAATACATACGACTATACGAAGTAATTAAATAATAAACCACCAGACCTATGGCAACATTACGCTTCTACAAAGTATAATGGAAAAAGTCAGAGCAAATAACTTGAAAATGCATTCACTACAATCCTGAAATTATTCTCTAATTCTGTGTGTATATATAACGTAAAGCTTCAATGCTTTAATATAACATTCAGCCTATACTGGAGCTTCATTACAAGTGTTGCGTTTGTGCAGTGTTAATATATGAATCTTTTCATGGGTATGGGCATTTTGTGTACGGGGTTGGTCACCGTAATGGTGAGTGGCGCGTGACGGGTATTAGAGTTTCGGTAGGTCAAATCAGTCACCTCAGCTCACCAATAAGAGCTGAATTTTTTGGCACCCAAACTGCTCTTCATTTAGCAGCACTGGTATTTTTTTCGATAAGCCTAGTTAACAATATTGCCTATCATTTGCTGTTTTCAGTGTTGGGAATAATGAAGGGGCGGAACAAACTACTTGTTTTGTCTTAATCTAAAAAACGGTTCCTAACGTTTACGAGTCGGTGTGACGGTAAATTCAGTTCTGAACACCGGCACAAAGAGCCGACTCGTTCGCGAACGACACATCACTCATTTGTATGTGCCTTTCTGCATGCAGTTTAGTAAAAAGCATTTCTCGTGGTAGAGTACTTCTTCGTGTCTTAACCTGACGCCACAATATTCTATTTACAGTTTTATTTTTACACTTGTCAGGAAACATCTACACTGTTGAGGCCTGTGTACAGAGATGAAATTCAGCTCTCGGAATAAATTGTCCCTGTCAAATAAAGGTATAGATCAGGGATGTTCAACTCCAGTCCTTGAAGGCCAATGTCCAGCACTCTTTAGTGATTTCCTGCTCAAACATATGTGGTTAATCTGTTAATTATTAGGTTTACTCGTTGTGTATTAGTAGGGAAATGACCGAACTGTGCTGGACACTGGTCCTCCCAAGTCTGGAATTAAACATCCCTGGTATAAATTCATAGAGTGCCCCCTATTGGACAAAAGCCAGTAATACAGGTTACACTGGAACAGTAGTTAACTGCATCATACACGAGACACATAGAAACGTTTATTATGCATACCGAATTAAGAAATCAAATTTAAATAAATTAACTTTACGATTTACATTTTCACACAGACAGGTAGAATTCATAATTCAGTCACATTAACTCTTTTAGGGTTGCACTTGGAACTTCAAAAGAACACTTATGACTAAGGTTTGTTTTGCAGACAGACTGGCTTACATCATTTTAATTTTGTGCTGAGCATTGTGGATATCTTGAATAGGTGGTATGATTCATGTGTGTGAATATATGTGCTCATTCCCAGAATACTCCAAATACAAGGAAACTGCAGAAAAAAAAACTCCCCTTAGAGCAGGGATCACCAATTAGCTTGCCATGCAGATATTAGTGTCAGTTCTAATCTCATGTACATATTTCAAAAATGTTCCAGAGTGTTTCTGGGCTAGGACATTTAATCTTCAATAGTTATGGAACCATTTCTGGAAATTCTTTCACTTAAACTTTAAACAGTTTTCTCACAATCAACATGCAATTTAAGAAAAAATGTTATTTGAAGAATAATCCATTGAAAAGTTATTTAAGCTTATTCTGTAGCACTGCTCCAAAGAAACCTTTATGGCACCTTTATATTTAAGAGTGCACCTGTCTTTAATATTTCATATGGCCTTCATTAGTCATATGCTCTTGATTAGTTGTATCATGTGTCTTAGAACTAAACTCTTCAAAAAAAGAGTTCATAAGTTGACTTTTACAAGAGCAAGAGCAGAACTGGGGACCACAAAATCAAGTGTATTCTGACTAGCACAGATAATAAAAACTGTGCATACCATGTAACATATAAGCTACACTCAGCATGATGTTGAACAAGACAAGGAAAACAAATATCTCCTGAATCACGGTTATGCTCCAGTTATCAGTGTTATATCCTTCTTTGCCTATAGGGGTAACTGATTAGCATTCACTGAGTAGCATTTAACTGGCCTCTACAATGGCAAACAGTTATATATATCTTTGGATTTAGGCTATATATTTTTCTCTTTTATGTTTATGACTGTATAGGTATGTCTCAAGGAGCTCCCAAGTTCAGTAAGGTAGGGTATTGCCCAGGGAATCAGTCATTTTCTAGGATGTCACATTGTTCAAATTGCTCCAGTATGCTGGAACTTCTGTTCCCTGAAAAATCCCACAGTGCACCATAAAAAACAATCGCCGCTTAAACTTTGGTCACTTCCACTCTGTGGAATGTAGCTTTTGGTACATCGCATAAAGTGTAGTAATGGTGAAAGCAAGTGCCAGACTTATCTGCCAAGGATACTGTCTACTCAGATAAGTGTCACTATACATACATATTTGAGATGATTTATCAAACTTGTCATACCATGGTATGCCAGCCTCATATCATATCCTGTTGTTCGATAGTTTAACATGCTCCCATGATGTCTAATACACTTTTGCTCTTTTAGCTTAAAATATCATAATATTTGAAAACATTTTGACAATACGTATTTATATATTTAGTTTTTCTGAATGAACATTTCACATACTGAGCTACACTAAATCCAGTGAAACAGGACTAATTATTCTTTGTAATGAAACATGCACTTGGTCTGTGTTCTTTAGGTACTGATGGTTTCCACAATATGCTTATAAAACCATATTGTGAAAAAATTTACCAGAATGGCAATAAAATATCATCATATTCATCATCATCTTCACCCCTATTCTATCAAAGGATTGAGATTAAGTGTAGGAAGTGGAACATTAATTCCTTTGGTAATGGCAAGAATTTTAGAATTGAATTCTGTGTATACTAAACTGCTGTGGGTTGCCTTTAGTTTGGGTTTTTTTACTTATTTATTTTTTTAGATGCAAAGTACCTCATGGACCTGGTGTGTAACTCATTCACATATTCACTCACGCACTCAACTTACTCACTCACTCACGTTTACCAAGATTGTCCACAAGGGGCAGCTACGGGCACCAGGCCTGGAGCCACAAGAGTGAACAGATGTGCTCCCTAGCTTTGTGTTATCTGTTCTGGAATTTAAACTTTATTTTATTTGTTTTTCTGCAGGGTAACATTTTTTCTGCATTCACATGAATAATGTTGATTTTATAGCTGAACAAGTCATTCAGACATCTCAGTCGATATTGACGATGTGAGCCATCAAATAGAGATAACCTACGTGCTGCCATGAGTTTAGTTCATGTTTTGCTGTCAAATCAAAGCTTTTCATCTCAACTCTTTTTTAATGCCAACACCAGCCATCTCTGTAGAAGAAGGACCATTAGAAAAAATTAGTATTAAAACCTAATGGTTTTGCTTTCTAATGGGAATTGAATTAATGGTTTCCTATAGAGACCAAGTATATTCCTGTAGAACACCTTTAGATCCCATTAGGAAACCAAAATTGCATTTAGAATCATTGGTCACCTGTTAAACCACCTTGATCCTTTACATTGTGATATCAACCCATCAAAAAAGCCAAAATACATTACAAAACCATCAGGAACCAACAGAAACACTTAATGGCTTCTATGGGTTTTTTCAAGAGGCATTGGCCCTGCTTCACTGAAAATCGTATTGTATCTGTATCAGCGCTGATACTGGTACTTAAATGCAGTATCAGTATTGGTGATGTGGATACCGATGCCTACAAATGACTCCACGAAGCAATTTCTGGCATGCGCACCAGTAGACAGAACTTAACAACATGTCGGGGGTGTGGAATGTCAAGCAGCAGTAAAAATGCTCATGGCAGAATCTGTAACAGCAGTTTTTGGTGTTAAGAACATGCTAATGGAGCCGCTTACTTGAACGGCTGAGCTGCTTCTTTCAGCAATCACTCATCTGCCGTGTGGTCACACATACAGTCTGAGTTAATGTTATTGAGAGAGCAGAAGGAACCGCCAGAATTTGGCATAATGATAGCCTTTAGTCTCGTTTTAGCAAATGATTTGTAACCAAGTATTAAAAATGACTATTTAACTTATGATTAGTTTGTCTAGTTACTTTTGAGCTTCTAAGAACTCAAAAGAGGCTATGAAAATGATATGAAAATGGTTGTAATTTCTATACTCTTTGTCCGATTTGGATATAAGTACCCT